TAGAAGCCTTCAACCCCCCCCCTTCAGGAGCAGGAATTAATCTCCCTCTCTCTTACATTCCTGTTGTGCACAATTTACTGAGAGATTAACCCATCCGCCCCCCCTTAAGGGTACTAATACCACTGTGTAAAAGTACTCTGCTACAGTACAAGTACTAATACCACTGTGTAGAGGTACTCTGTTACAGTACAAGTGGCTAATACCACTGTGTAAAGGTACTCTGTTACAGTACAAGTACTAATACCACTGTGTAAAGGTACTCTGTTACAGTACAAGTGCTAATACCACTGTGTAAAGGTACTCTGTTACAGTACAAGTGCTAATACCACTGTGTAAAGGTACTCTGTTACAGTACAAGTGCTAATACCACTGTGTAGAGGTACTCTGTTACAGTACAAGTGCTAATACCACTGTGTAGAGGTACTCTGTTACAGTACAAGTGCTAATACCACTGTGTAAAGGTACTCTGTTACAGTACAAGTGCTAATACCACTGTGTAGAGGCGAGAACTACTTCCACACTAGAAATATTTGTAAAGTATGTTACCAGAATAAAAGTACAAGTACCTCATGTGTGGTTACCTATACAGATACAACACTTTAATACAGAGTATTAAATAGTATGTTACTACTACTACTATACATCAACCATCAATAAATACTACCCACATTTAGAAGGCACTGAATTGTGTCGGCTGCAGTTACCTAACAATAAATAAGCCAATCAGATGGAAGTATTGATCGCTGGTATTAAAACTACAGAGAAGCAGGAAGTCGAGAACGTTTAATTCTGATCAGCTGTTCACACACACACACACACACACACACACACACAGTGCGTCTCATTAGTGTGTACTGAGGACAAAGGAAGGGACTGTTTGTGATGTCACAGCCAGAGACAGAGACGTTCTGTGATACCAGTCATACAAAAACACAAGAAACTAGCCAGTGTGTGTACAAATACTGCAAATAAACGTAAACTCACACAAGCTGGACGTTTCAAGAAGTACATAGAGGATCAGGACTACACTGAGCCTGGTTCACATAGAGGATCAGGACTAATCTAATTAACCATTAACTATCAAGCATCAAGTAGCCCTGATGGATCCAGCGTCGCTTTCTGTCAGTTTAAAACCCACAAAATCCGTCTCATGCAAATAAATGTTTGTCTGCAGTGAATCTTCCTCTAGAAGAATAAAGTGAAATATTTGTGGCACCTTCAGTCAGATTAAGACACATTTCACAACACGGACACACACACACTGACACATGCGCACACACACACACACACGCACACACACACGCACACACACAGAGACACACACACACACACACACACACACACAGAGACACACACACACACACACACACGCAGCCTCCCTCAGTAGAAGAGAGTTTGAGACGCACCACAAACTGAAGAATGTGGAGTTTACATGGGCGTCTTTATTTGGCCTGAAAAAAACCTCAACCACACACACACACAGAGACACACGCAGACACACACACACAGAGACACACACACACACACACACAGAGACACACACACACACACACAGACACACACAGACACACACACACACACAGACACACTCGACTCGGCTCACAAGAAGCTCCCGTCTGTTTGCTCCTTCCTGTTTACACAAAATTCTGAAAGCGCGACAACATAAATAAACCACAGATGTGAAGCAGCACCGCAGTCACGTGCACATCTGTAAACGGGGGGTTGTGATGGAGGCGTTGGGGGTGGGTGGAGGCGTTGGTGTGGTTAGGGTGGAGGCGTTGGGGGGTTGGGTGGAGGTGTTGGGGTGGTTGGGGTTGAGGCGCTGGGGGGGTTGTGATGGAGGTGTTGGGGGGGGTTGTGATTGAGGTGTTGGGGGGGTAGGGTGGAGGCGTTGGAGGGGATAGGAGTGGAGGCATTGGTGGGGGATGTGATGGAGGTGTTGGGGGGGTAGGGTGGAGGCGTTGGGGGGGCTGGGGTGGAGGCGTTGGGGGGCGTTTGTGATACACATTTTGGGCGGGGTAGGGTGGAGGCGTTGGGGGGTTGTGATGGAGGTGTTGGGGGGGTTGTGATGGAGGTGTTGGGGGGTTAGGGTGGAGGCGTTGGGGGGGTAGGGTGGAGGCGTTGGGAGGGTTGGGGTGGAGGCATTGGGGGGGATAGGGTGGAGGTGTTGGGGGGGTGGGGTGGAGGCGTTGGGGGGGGGTTGTGATGGAGGTGTTGGGGGGGTAGGGTGGAGGTGTTGGGGGGGTGGGGTGGAGGTGTTGGGGGGGGTGGGGTGGAGGCGTTGGGGGGGGTTGTGATGGAGGCGTTGGGGGGGTTAGGGTGGAGGCCTTGGTGGTGTCTTCTATCAACACATTCCGTCATGTTCACAGAACGTTTCCTGATGAACTTCTTCCTCTTCGCCCAAACAGCTCCATTAAAAACCCATCAGCGAGCCTCCTCCTCTTCATCACGCCGTCCTTCATCTCCACTGCGTCCCACGTCCTCCAGAGCACTTTGGATTCGTCCCAACAAACGGAACATTCTGGCCAGATGTTGTTTACCTTCTGACTGCTTCTCCTTCCTCTGAAGCGTTTCTTTGGACTTGTGAACATGTTCCCGTTGGCACGGCAACGTGAATGTGACCCTGAGAGAGCAGCGCCCTCTGCTGGTGCCCCCAAATGCCCGAACACCCACATATGGACCAACACGATGGATAATATTCACCTCCGTTCTGTTACTGTGAGACATCATCGTCACGTCTACGGGGAACAAGAGAAAAGAAGCTTCAGCTTTAGTTGATGTTTCTCATAAACGTGTTACTGACAAATGAAGCTGTTTTACTTCTCTAGCTGTTAACATGCAGAATTTACTGGAGATCTTTTAGTACTTTTCAACAGAGCTACCGGTGTTTTCCTGAGGGAGACGACATCATCTGGTCGGTGAAGACATTTTTTCCCCCTGCAGCTCGAATTTGATCATAATTCAACAATATCAACAGTATTAATGCTGGAAGTCAGTCATGGTGGAGGGGCGTGGCCTCTTTGAGTGACAGGTGTGTCGTCCGAGGCCTCAGCGACTTGTGGGTACGTGTCAGTTGCCTTGGTAACGGGAAGAGGAGGAACCAGGTCCATCTTGGGACTAAAAAAAAGCGTTTAAATAGAAACAAAGCGACAAGCAGCAGCTCACCTGAGGACAGGTGATCGATTGGAACCTACTGGAGGTCTGAAGCCGACGCCCAGCGGCCATGTACTCGCCCTCTTTGATAACGTTGCATTCTGATTGGCTCACCTGAGACCCTGCGAGGCACAAAAAAGAAAAAAAGAATTTCCTCAATCCCTTCCTTCATTTCCTTCTTTCCTCTCTCTGCACCTCCTTCCTTTCCTCACTCTCTTATACGATATCTCCTCCGTGTGTCAATCAAACCGCCGGCTCCGTCAGGTGCTTCCTACGCCCACAAGTAGACAAGTAGACATTATTAGATACAAACTCAAACAGTGGTAAGTCCAAAATAACACCAACATAACTAATTTAAGAGAGTCTCTGTGGAACGGCCCTGAAGCCTGGTGGTCCAGGAGGTCGTTACGGTGGAGATAAGATCACACAGTTGGTGGTTTGAGTCCCGGCTGACGTCCCAAGTGAAAGTGTCCCTGAGCAAGACACCTGACCCCCAATTGCTCCCCGGGCAAAAATGTAACGTAAGTCTCTTTGGATGAAAGCGTCAGCTAGATGACCTGTGATGTGAAGTACGGTTCAGTTAAAACTCTTTAAAGGCATGTGAATATTTTTGATATAATTCTATAAAGCCAATGATTCGTCTCCTGAAGAGAGAATAAAGACGTTCTCGTGTACCGAGAGGTGGAACCAGGCGGGAAGAGGTGCCTGTATTGATCAGCGATCGGTTGTCTTACGTAGGCGGCGAAGAGACAGACTCCGAACATCTGCAGAGAGACAGAAGGAGACGCTGGGCCTGAGGACGAGAGACGCTGCTGGACAGAGGACACACAAAGGGACAGACAGGGGCATGTTACTCGTGACACACAGGGATCAATAGGGAGGGACCAACATGTCTAATCTCCAATTAAAATAACAGATTCTGTTCCAGTCAAACAAACTATGTACAACTATATTTATTTCTGTTATTTTTATTATGAAAAGGCAACGGGGAGACCGGATCTGGACTGAGGAGGACGTAGAGACGCCGTACGTGTCTTTGGTACAGACCTGTCAATCAGCGTGTAGCCACACAGCATGTGAAGCCCCCCAGCACCTTAGCGTGTGCAGTTAGCGTGTTGTCGCCGCGTGTGCGTGGGTTCTCTGCTCTGGGGGTTAAAGGTGACGTGTGCGGGTGTGGGTGATTGTGTGTCTGTGTGTGTGACTGGAGGCCAGCGGACGCCGTCCCTCCCCCATGCTGGCTGGGATTGAGTCACAGTCATCTGACATTTTATTCTAAATTTACGCCAAATTGGTTCTTCGTAGTCTGTTTGACACAAACATCAATCGGTTTCCTTTAATGTTTTTTTAGTTTGAGGGAAACTCACCGAGGTGTCGATGCTGTGAAATAGTTTTTAAAGGATCCAACCAGTGCTGTTAGAAGCAAAAACACAGGTCAATTATTCATATTGTTCAGAATGCACTTTTTCATGGCTTTTCAAAATAAGGACCCAGAGTGATTTTAGGGGGCTTGAAGTTGATTTGCACCGTTTGGTAGTTTTTACCCTAAAATAAATACCACATTCCCTTATATGGAAATAACCGTCTGTATTCACAGGAAACTCTTCCCACCGTCTGCGGTTCACAGAACCTCAAACCGAAAAACTTCACGTCAAGGACGTCCAGGTAGGAGAACACCTGGTTCAAGATGGAAGAAGAAGAAACTGATTTTGCTTCATCAGAAAATAAATGATAACAAAGAAAAGTGAAAAGAACAGGTGTTCAAATACAAATTAACCTTAAAGCTCACCGTAAATCTTCCTCTCGTCCAACAGGAGGACTTCCCCGTACAATTCATCCCAGTTGCCACGGAAACAGGCCATCGCTACTCACGAGGATTTATACTGATTAAAAAGATGTTAGCTTCAGACAAAACAATCACAGAAGAACTGTTAAGTTAACTGCTTAAACAACAGTAGTAATAAATACTTTAAAATACATTTTCTCAGTTTCTCTGATGTCTGCTGTCCTTTTCTATTAAAAGTTGAAATATCGAAATATGGACAAAATGTCATTAATGTATTCATGGTTCATTTGTTACTAAGTTAGTTTTTTAATTTGGTTTTCCTAAAGGAGATCGGAAACAATTGCATTAAAATATTCAAAACAAATGAATTAATTAAAACAGGATTGAGCTTCACTGTTATTTTGTATGGTTAAAAAATAATTATTTACTGTCAAGATGGTGGAAATAAACGTGTTTGCTCCTCACCTGCTGATCATAAACTTTCCTTCGTCCTCTTACTATTCTTCTCTCCTCTTCCTCTCTCGGGCTCTGTTGCTCTGTTGCCATGGAGACGGTCTCCTCGCCCCTCGATCCTCCTCTGACGTTCTCACTGAGGTTTCTTCCCTTTCTTCCCCATGAAGGGTTCTCATTGTTTGGGGAGTTTCCTGTGTTGATGTGAGGTTTTGGGGACAGAGGATGTCGTATGTGTACAGACTGTAAAGCCTCTGAGGCTAATTTGTAATTTGCGATTTTGGGCTCTACAAAATAAAATGAATTGAATTGAATATTTAACAAGAGCTGCATGACGTTGTTTGGGAGAAAAAATCAAGGTGAATTTCTAATACAATTTTCCACAGTTGTAAACTTTATTTTATTGTTTCACAGTTAGACAAAACGTTTGCTACAAAACATTTGAAACAGCTGATTTATGAACCAATAAATGTTTTCAGTATAAATGAGCTTGGTTTCGTGGTCCGATATCATTTTTTTGAATGGAAAACAGATTTCACTGTGATTCTCAATATCAAGGGAAAAAACTATGAAAGTGCAATTTTAAATTCTATTTTCAAAATAAAAGTCAGTAATTTGGTCAAAGTGACGAATAAAGTTCTATCATAACCTTCAAAATAAAATCCACTAGGAATGCACAACAGTAAATCTAAGTATTTCATAATAAAAGTATTTCACACAGACTCAACAGACAGCTTTCTCATCAACAACATAATCCACAGCTTGTGACAGCCTTAAAAATAAAAGCTAGTGAAAATAGGCCTTTCTTTCTGATGCCATCTTTAGAATAAATCTGAAATTTAAAAACAACACGTCACTGAAAGCCGCTGAGGTCTTGGTCTCTTTTCTGCCGTTTAATGTTTGAATAAAGCTTTACTTTGCCGGTGAACAAACAGTTTACAAACAGCAGCAATTCTGATGTTGTTTTCCTGTTTCACTAAATCAGTCAAAATAAAAGCCAGAGCTAACAGACAATATTAATACATCTTCAAAGTAAAAGCACACAGAAATACAATTATCGATTGAGGTCCAAACTGTCAAAACAGAGCAGATAACAATAATCAAAATATCTTCTTAATTCACATTTTATAGTTTCAGTTCATATTTGATGAATAAATCCAAGTATATATATGTATATATATATAATTCATGGTATTAAAATGAATAAATACAAATGTATAAAATTAATAAATTAATGATAATTATCAAAAACTAAATGAAAGCAGGTGATGAAGTCAATCTACTGTGACAGGTTGCTGAGGCTCCGATTGGTTGAAAGGAAATTACCCATGAAGCTCGGCACCTGCAGGCCCGTTACTATGGTGATTCCACCGCACCAAACCTGCAACACAGTTTAACTACAGTAAGTACAGCAACATTAGGAGTGTATAGTATTACTGGAGTGTGATATAGTACTCACTGTGAAGGCGGGGTTGATGTACTAGTACTACAGTGTTGTGTACTTGTACTCACTGTGAAGGCAGGAAGCAGCGGTTGGCTAAACTTTGTTTTGAAGGAGTGGACGAGGCGCCGTCGCTCCACGTCGATGAACGACAGGTCACCTGACACAAAGAGGAGGAGCCTTAACAAGCTGAAAGCGGCGGCCACTCGGCGTGAAGCGGAGTATTCGGTCGGTACCGTTGTCGTAATCGCAGTAGACTCCGATTCGCTGAGGCGAGCGGCCAATCGAGCGCCTTGGCCTTGTTGTTGTGCTTCGCAGCCAGCGAGCTCTGCAGCCATTGGCTGGCGTGGAGGCACCACGAGCCGGCGCTCTTCCCCAGTTGGTCAAAGCGGCCCAGGCTGGCGCGATAGGCCACGCCTAGACTGAACGACTTCCAGTCGGCGAGGGGGCGGAGCTCCCAGTAGTGACAGCCGGCGACCATCTCCATGTCACCTGAGAGACATAAAAAGCTCAAAACATTTGATTTCAAAGGCAGAATAAAATATCTGAGAATGTAAATACTAAATATTTACTAAATAAAAAGAGGCAAAGGACAACAGTCCGTTCCAACCTTCAAAATAAAAGTCTGAAATTTGATCTGACAATATTTGACTATGTCAAAATAAAACAAAGAAAACCAGACTGAAACTAATGCTGCGTTTAGTGTGTGCTTTGACTTGTGACCTTCAAAATAACAATTAATATAGTAATAAAATAACTGATAAAAATGTGTGTGTATTTTTAGTTAATGTTTAAGAATTAAGTAGCTGGGCGGGCAAACGCAGGTGAAGGAGCGCACTCCACCCACACAGGCGGGTAGTTCTTATTGTTTTGAGCTAGAACTCTTACTTAAAGATAAATAATAAATCATAAAGAAAACAGAAACATTTTTAGGAAAAAGGAAAAAGTAAACTGGAGAAAGTGCACGTGATGGGTGGTGCAGCGCAGGGTGGGGTCAGCGGGCGGGGGGTGGAAGTACACTGTGAAGTACCCAGCACTGTGTACGATTCTCCGGCGAATCGGTCGCGTCCTGCTCGACTTCCCGCGCTCTTATTGGGCGACGGCGTGGCGCTGCGGCTGCTAACGAAACAAAACACAGGAAGTTAGAGGTGAAAATCACCTCCAGCCTCCCAGACAATAAAAGTGGGAAATTGGGGGGAAGCAGCCAATGAGGTCGTAGCAAAGCGATGATGCAGCAGAGAGAAGATGAAGAAATGCAAGTAAAACAACACAAAATGTAACTTTAGATTCATTTGAAATATGCACATAAACGTATGTATAGGTATTGAAAGTCATTTAAATTTCTACATGTTGAACCTGTTTGAAAAAATAACTAAATAACAAAAACACAAAACAAATTTTCAGTTAAACAATGTGACTAAATTCAAAAGTACAAACAGATCTGAAGATTTTATTGAGACTGAAATAAACGCTGAAGTGATCGGCCGCATGGAGTGAGGAATGGCGGATGGAAGTGACGCGGTGGTTGCTAGGCAACCTGTCAGCGATGTCTCTACCTGAGCGAGTCGGAGAGGACGCGGTACGGAGACTGAGGAAGGACAGAAAGGTCAAAACACACAAGCACAGCAGCAGAGGAGACAAAGCTCAAGCTCAGTTTTCTCTAAATGGACTTTAATAACTCGACATCATCGCCGACATCGCCCTCCCCCACCTGCTCTTGTTCTCTTTTCCCCTCAGCCGGGGGTCGTGACCTTTGACCCCCTGTGGCTCCCAGGTCACAGTGTCGCCCTGAACCTTCAGCTCAGCGTGCGCAGTCACCGCGTCGAAGCCGAAGTTAAACGCTGCAATGCGAGAAGGAGAAGAAGAAGAACCTGGTAATAATTTATGTGCTGGAGACAAATGAAACGTCGCCGCGTTGATTCTTGTGATCACCTCTAGTTTCCACGGCGACGGGCTCAGAGAATTCGCCGGCGGCCGCTTTGTTCTTCGCTCGGACTCGAACGACAACAAAGCGAGTATCAAACTTCAGACCTGAAACCAACAAAGTATTTCAACATTGTTTCAGTTTTATAGTCAACCGTTTGATTTCCACAATAAACGTTCACATTGTAATTTGTTTGTTAAATAAACTGATTTCAAAGGCCAGCGGCTCTGTGAGGCTACATGCTAAACGCTTCAGCTGATTAGCACAAAGCACCGCTGAGGCTGATGGGAATGTTGACCTCACCTGAGATGGTGACGCGTGTGTCACTGATGTCAAGTATTTTTTCCCAGCATGCATCTCCCGCCGCCCTCAGCGAGTTGTCCCGGTTTGTTTTCCGGTATTCAAGTTCGTAGCGTTCAATTCGTTCGCCGTCGCCCTCAGCCTCACCGGCAGGTTGCCAGGCAACAGTGATGTCATTGTCACAGACGACGCAACTGGAGACGTCGATCTGTGGAGCTCTGGGTACTGTAAACAACAACGATGTAAACAACAACAACGATGTCAACAACAAAGACACTTTAAACAGAAATAGCTTATAGTACAGTATACAGTATACATAATGTAAACAATAAACAAACACGTAAACAATGATTTCATTATTGATTTAATTCATCAATAATGTAAATAATAGAAATACTGTAAACTAGAAAATTAGGGAAATCAAATCATTCCAGCAAAGAAACCACTGCTGTTGATGTATTTACCTTTTGATTATTATTAGGTATTTGGGAATAGGAGTGATAAATAAAAACTAAAAATAATACTTTTAAAGGAAAACAGTAAGAAAATCTAAATAAAATATGACAAAAACATTTCATATAAAATGACAAAGAATGAACTACCCCTAAGATGAAGGAGAAGGAGGAGGAGGAGGAACTAAAGAATTATCAAAAAATGACCTCCTAACCTCCTTCCCTAACCACCTTTCCTTGACCTCTGTGAAAAGGTCATGGGGTCAAGGAAAGGCGGTCAAGGAAAGACGTTATGTCTCCTGAACGGACCAATGACACGTCGCTATTTAAATATCGCTGCCGCAAGGAATTGTGGGACGGAATTATCTCCTTTACTTTGGTGAAGGACGCTCCAGTGGTTCCTTTGCTAAAGGAGCCAAGTAAGGAAGCATTGAGGCTCCTTTCCTTAGCACTAGAGAATCATGGAGCCACTACTTCACTTCCTTTCTCTCGGTGAGGAACCTTCCTGAGCAGAGAGGACGCTTCCAGTCCCGCAAAGACTCACCAGGTAGGAAGTGAAGCCGTTGAAGCCCCGCCCTCTCCGCACTGAAGTCAACATTAAATTGCGACATGTTCTCCGACGCCACAGGACGAGTTGTCAGCCGGAACGCCGGAGCCATGGTTACCCTGGCAACAGGGGTTGCAGCGGGGTTAATTTATAGGTCTGAGCTTTGATCGAAGTGTTTTAAAGTTGGACTGGAAATCTAATTAAAATGTGACGAGAGCCGAACAATGAATGTAAACGTTATAATATATTTAAAAAACATTTATTTAACAAACCTTTCTTTGATTTGTTTTGCAGCCTGAAGAAGAAGAGATGAAGACATTTAAATACATCATTAGGTTAATTATTTTTTGTTAAAAGGAATTTGTAGTTAAAAGTTAGTAGCTTGTAAGTCTTTGTTTAGTAATGATTTTAGATAATAGAGACAGGAAACTCAATCTACTTTTAGGAATTCTTCTTCGTTGGTGATCGTCAGCGTCTGATTTGCGAATTCGAGGAGTTCTTCACAGGAGAGCAGAGCCGCCCCCCCCTCCGCCATCTGCTTCTGAACAAGCAAAACATTCATGTTTTTAAATATTATAAAACACGTGGGATCAAAGCCGAAAAAACTGTGAAAGAAAAGGTTTTTAATAAAAAGTGAGAACATGTGTGATGGAGCCATTGGGGACGTTTGTGTGTCCGGGTGGCCACAGGGGGCAGTGTGACCGCATGGGGGCAAATAGAATGTCTGCGTGAGCGAGTGAGGAACGGGATCTTCTCTCGCACTCTGCCGATCTGTCAGTACAATATGCGTTTACCTGAAGCCCCGCCTCCTTCCTCTGCTTCTCCTCTTTAATGGCATCACGAAGCGCCGCCCCCGTCTCCTCCAGGGTGGAGCTTAGGTGCTCAAGCTCCGCCTCTAGCTCTGTAGTCACCTTTAATGACTCCTCCTTGGACGGACAAAGTTTACAGGTCTTTTTATTCCAGATCTGTCTAAGCCCAACCCTCTGCTGCGTCTTAGCCAATCAGCTGCTGACCTGGAGTCCGGTGAGCGTGTTGTCCACTGCTTCCAGGAAGCTTTGGAGCTCTTCATTCTTATTGGCTAACGTGCTGATGATCCTGCACAGAGCTTCCTGTTTGACACACAGACACTTTTAGAAACAGGAATAAATAACCGTTTGCTTCCAGATGATGACGTGGTGCTACACCGTAGCGACCGCTGCCATGGTTACGCACGATGTACCAGTACTAGAAAGGTACCGCGGCTCATTTTACGTTGAAGACAATACGTATCCTGATTTTTGATTAGTAACGGTACTTTAAAAAAAAGCAGCAATCACAGCGAGCTCAGTGCGCGTCACTCACAGCGAGTTATCAGGTATCATGGAGCAGTCTGTAGATAGAGACATACATGTAGTATGTACATGGAGCAGACTGCTGATAAGTACATACATGTAGTATGTACATGGAGCAGACTGCAGATAAATACATACATGTAGTATGTACATGGAGCAGACTGCAGATAAATACATACATGTAGTATGTACATGGAGCAGACTGCAGATAGATACATACATGTTGTATGTACATGGAGCAGACTGCAGATAGATACATACATGTAGTATGTACATAGAGCAGACTGCAGATAGATACATACATGTAGTATGTACATGGATCAGACTGCAAATACATACATGTAGTATGTACATGGAGCAGACTGCAGATAAGTACATACATGTAGTATGTACATGGAGCAGACTGCATATAAGTACATACATCTAGTATGTACATGGAGCAGACTGCAGATAGATACATACATGTAGTATGTACATGGAGCAGACTGCTGATAAGTACATACATGTAGTATGTACATGGAGCAGGCTGCAGATAGATACATACATGTTAGTATGTACATTGGAGCCGACCTGGCAGATAGATTACATACATGTAGTATGTACATGGAGCAGACTGCAGATAAGTACATACATGTAGTATGTACATGGAGCAGACTGCAGATAAGTACATACATGTAGTATGTACACGGAGCAGACTGCAGATAAGTACATACATGTAGTATGTACACGGAGCAGACTGCAGATAAGTACATACATGTAGTATGTACACGGAGCAGACTGCAGATAAGTACATACATGTAGTATGTACACGGAGCAGACTGCAGATAAGTACATACATGTAGTATGTACACGGAGCAGACTGCTGATAAGTACATACATGTAGTATGTACACGGAGCAGACTGCAGATAAGTACATACATGTAGTATGTACACGGAGCAGACTGCAGATAAGTACATACATGTAGTATGTACATGGAGCAGACTGCTGATAAGTACATACATGTAGTATGTACACGGAGCAGACTGCAGATAAGTACATACATGTAGTATGTACACGGAGCAGACTGCAGATAAGTACATACATGTAGTATGTACACGGAGCAGACTGCTGATAAGTACATACATGTAGTATGTACACGGAGCAGACTGCAGATAAGTACATACATGTAGTATGTACACGGAGCAGACTGCAGATAAGTACATACATGTAGTATGTACATGGAGCAGACTGCTGATAAGTACATACATGTAGTATGTACAGGAAGCAGACTGCAGATAAGTACATACATGTAGTATGTACATGGAGCAGACTGCAGATAGATACATACATGTAGTATGTACATGGAGCAGACTGCTGATAAGTACATACATGTAGTATGTACATGGAGCAGACTGCAGATAAGTACATACATGTAGTATGTACATGGAGCAGACTGCTGATGATGAACAAGGTGCTCACAGTATCAAAGCCTGTGGTCAAACCTAGTGGTCATCATCTCCATCTCTCATCACCATCAGCTGAACCAGTAGTATTATGCTTTGAAGTACTGCAAGTAGTACGAGTATCATGTCATTGCAGTGTGTCAATGCTACTGGATATTCTAATAGAGACACGGGGGGGTCGAGTTACCAGAGACAGGCGGCTCTAGTTACCCGCAGAGAGAAAACCCCTGAATGGTTCGTGAGGCCGTTTGAGGACCAGTAAACGAAACCATTCCGTGTGACCGTCACTCGACCAGAGTCTTATCGGCAAATCCCTCATTCAAAATGATGCTGACTCGACCAGAGAGAGAGGAGGACTTTAGCTGCTAACCGCTAGCTAATCCTCTCTCTCCTTCCTCCACGTGTTTCCTCGGGTCAGCTGACATGACACGTGATGTCATTGATCATCGATCGATCGATCGATCGGATTCTTACCTTCTGAGTGTCCATCATCTGAATAAGAGAGAGAGCGAGGGCGAGAGAGCGACGGAGAGGGGGAGGAATGACGCAGACCGGAAGTGGAGTCCGATACATGACAGCTGTTTCCGGTCTGAAGTGTCATAATAAGAGTCTTAGGGTGACATAACCAGATGTAAATATAATCCAAATGAGTGAGGTAGAAATCCTCTTTCATTATATACATGAAATAAAGTAGATATTATAACAACACACGTGTACCGCACTCATGGAGGAATACGCGGTGGGAAGAGGGTTTGGGTTTTTTATATATATATATATAAATATATATATATATATATATATATATATATATATAAATATTACACACACATCACTTATATCTATTTTTGATATTCAGTGTAGAATATTTTTCGGTTGCAGATTTTATATTTTCAGGTTCAAAACTGAATATTTTCACTTTTGTTTCACATTCAGACTTTGACCCTGATGTGGCGTAGAGGGCGGGGCATCAATTGGGAGGGCGTGTAATCGCAAAACCTTATTTTGAATACACGGTTGTATTTTTCAATGTTCAACAACAAAACTTAAACTTCAGGTTTTTTTTTTCAAATGAACAAAACTTTTGACCTGGATTTGACTCCAAATGTTTGGAGCGAATAATAAATAATGTATATTAACAAGCTTCATCGTTTTTTCTCATTTTCACAATCAAATCACCAGAGTTTGCAGTTAAAATGTTGACTTTTATTCATCAGTTTAACATTTCACCAAAAACATTTTTGCCTGACTCGTCTTCCTCGAACACAACAGTGAAAATAAAGTTACAGCCATGGAAACTCTTTTTGGCAAAAATCATACTGGTTTTAAATTATGTGCTTAAGTGAAAGGTTCTTACGGTTTTACAGCAATAACTTACGTTTACAGTGTTATTTGTTCTCTCAGAGGTCACCAGAGGTTTCCTCTTCTTCTCCTTCGGGAACGTCTCATTCAAAGCAGCTTTAGTGGAGATTATTTTACTCTCAACTGGGAATCGTTACATCGGACACGTTGAACCCACCAAGCTGTCTCCACACGGAGAGAATAAATTAATTTCTACCCGCTGACAGGAGAAAAGTCTATTGTGATTTTTTTTCCAGAACAAACTGAAAAAAATGTGAAAACGTCCCAAAGAGCAGAATCGTCTTCAAACGCTACAGCTAGCAGAAACATCATCATCAGCGTCATCATATCACCGTGGTAACTGACATTGTTAAGGGGGCGGGGCCATGCAGGAACACAGGCAGAAAGGGGCGGAGCTAAGCGCTACTTATCATATTAGTGGTATAAAAACATAAAAAGTTCACTTTTAAAGTTCTCTCCTTGAATAAAGAACCATGACTGGCAGGTGAGAGGAGCCAATGAGTGGAGGGGGGGGGGGGCGGGGCTAGCGCTTTAATACAGACGCACTTCCTGTACAGTTCAGTTCAAAGACTCTCTCCGTATTTACACGTCCATGTTTATCTTCACACCGACGTCACGATGTACGAGCCGCGTTCCGCCCCCCCGCCGCCGCCCTCGCCGCCCTTAGGCTCTCGTTTCTTAGTGACGGGCGTGGGGATGAGTGAAGGTCGTGTGGGGGTCGTGGAGGTCGACGAGGAAGACCCCGCTGTGGTCACTGGGGGCGTGGCGTTGACGTCGGCGCTTCCTTTCCTTGAGCTCGGCGTGTAGTTGAAGGGGCTGACCCGAGCCGCCACGGCGCCGCTCCGCTGCTGACTGCGTTGTTGTTGTTGTTGTTGTTGTGGTGGTGTTGGGCATTCGGGCGGGGGGGGCGTCGGCTTGTCGTCCAGGCTCTCGCAGCTCCGGCGCAGGTTGAGGTTGGAGGAGGATGCAGGAGGAGGAGGAGGAGGGGATCTTGGAGGGCGCCGGGCTGTCGATGATGGGGGGTGCGTTGGCGGTGGGCGAGCGGGCAGAACAGGCGGAGGAGGAGCGCGGGTTGTTGACGGGACAATCCTCCAGACGCACCCACACGTCCTCCGACTTGTCCGAGAAGCGTCCGGCCGCCGTATCGCCGCCGGCCTTCCCCTTCCTCCACGTCCCGTTTGACCTGGCGGCGCCCTCCTCCTCGCTCCGCCCCTTCTCGCTGGACTCCGATGAAGCCGACAGGACGGAGGAGGAGCTCCCCGTCCGCTTCCACGTGCCCACGCGGGGCAACGAGGTTGCGTGTTTGCCGGCTCCGCCTCCTCCGCCGGTGCTGCTGCTCTCCCGCTTCCACGTGCCTGTGCGGCTGAACCGCGATGACGTCACTTCCTGTGAGCGTGACGGGCTCTCGGAGTGCGAGCGGTTGACGTCGTGCCTCCTGGTCGTCGATGGCAGCGGAGTGCCGGGGCTGGTCGGCGACTCCGACCCGCTCGCAGCCGCCACGGACTCCTCCAGCTTCCTCTTCAGCGTGGGACTCGGTGCTTCTTTGATGAATGTCGACTGACGGACCAGCGCCGGCTTCTCAGGCTCCGCCTTCGGCTTCTTGGCGGCCGTAGAGCCGCTGACCTTCGACGCAGACTCGCTCCTCGGGAGGCCGCCGCCCTTCGCCGCCCCGCTCTGCTTGGCTGGTCTGGAGGCCAAAGAGGAGGAGGACGACGCGCTTCCCGGAGACGCCGTGCGTGGCATCTGCAGCGTCTTCCCTCCTTTCTGATTGGCGGAGCGGGACGGCGTGGAGTCGCGAGAGGACCCGCCTCCTCTGTCGGCGCCGTCGAGGTTTCCGGGAGGTTTGGCCGCAGCTGCTGTTCTAGGCTTGCTCCGCCCCCTAGCAGATGGCTCCGCCCTCGGCTTTCCCGTGATCAGGCTCCTGTACACCTTCTTCCCTCCTCTCAAGGCCTTGGCCTCCTCCTCCTCAACCTCCTCCTCCTCCTTCTTCTTCTTGGCCTCCAACGTGCTGCGCTCGCCGCCCTTCAGGATTCTCGCCCCTCGCTTCATCGCCACCTCCTCCGTCTCCTCTGGGTCTTCTTCTGCGTTGTTATTGGCTGCTGGCAGGCGAAACGGCGAGCCCACCGACTTCAGGGAGAGGACCGAGTCGGAGTCGGACGACGGTTGCCGCGACAACGACGACGCGGCGGCGGCGTTCAGGCTGCTGACGATGGAGTTGGCGCCTTCCTGGATCGCCTTCCAATCAAACGTCTCTGAATCCGGGGAGGTGGGGCTCCTCGGCGCCTCCAAAGGCTCCTCCTCAGTCAAAATATCGCCCTCGGCTTTGGAAGCCGGAGGAGGCGTGGCCACGGGGCCGGTGGCGCTGGCGGCCTTCTTCTTCTTCTTGGGCATGGCGGAGCTGATGCACTCCTGCAGCAGGTCGTCCTCCGAGTCGATGCTCAGCGAGCTGAGCGACGAGTTCCTGGAGAAGCAGACGGGCGTGTCCTCCACGTGGAATGCAATGGGAGCGTAGCAGCTCGCCACAGGGGGGCGGGGCTTCGCCTCCTTGACTCCTGCTTTGCCGCCGTCCTTCTCCTCGGGCGGCGGCGGAGCAAACTCCTTGTTGTTGTTCTCCTGGTCGATGTCGCTCAGCGAGCTCAGGGACGAGTTCCTGGAGAAGCAGACGGGCGTGTCCTCGATGGAGAACTTCTGCCTCTCGTCAGACGCCGTGGCGTTGGTCGCCGGTTTCGTCCGAGGGAAAACCGCCGCTGTCTGCTGCTGCTTCCTCTTCCTGCCTTCTTCTTCTTTTGATTTCCTCTCCGTTTCCTTCTCGCCGCCGTCGTCTTCGTCGAAATCGAGCGAGCTCAGGGAGTCGTTGCGTGAGAAGCAGCACGGCGTCCCCTCGATGGGCGTGTAGTGGTGCGGCGAGTCAAAGGCGAACCCCGGCTTGGCTTTGGCAGCTGTCGCCGCGGCGACGCTGTACGCCGGCCGCTGGGGCATCGGCTTCACCGGAGACGTTGGCTTCTTCTTCTGCTGCTGCTGCAGGGCGAGAGGGGGCGGGCCCGCAGGAGGAGGCGGGGCTTGGAGGTGCTCGCTGTTTGCCGACGCTCTGATTGGTTTTCTGGGTTTGGCTTTGGGCATGGCAGCGCTGATGCACTCGGCCAGGATGTCGTCTCCATTCTCGCCCTCGGGTAGTCCCGCCCCCCTCCGCTGGCCGAGGGCAGGTGGGGCTACAGTCGGGACAACTGCCTCCTCGTTGGGCGGGGAGTCGATGGTGAGGTCACTGAGCGATGTGGCGGTGGAGAAGTTGAGCGGCGTTCCCTCGACGCAGTAAACTCTCGGCACCTCCTCCGGCGGCTGAGGCACGTCCTTCCTCTGCTGTGATTGGCCGCGGCTTTGGGGTGGGTGGACCTTATAGACGGGCAGCTGGCTGGGTTTCCTTGGCACGGGCTGTTGCGGCTTCTTTGGTTTCCGTGACGACTTGGGCATCGCCATGTTGATGCACTGCTCCAGGATCTCGTCGTCGTCCGATTCGTCGAGGATGGGCTTGTTTCCCTCCTCGTCCTTCCTCTGTCCGTCTCCTCCTCCCTCCTCCTCCTCCTCCTGCTGCTGCTGCTGGTGCTGCTCCTCCTCTTCTGCCCCCTTCATCTGTGGCGCGATGTACGGCTCGTCCAGACTGAGCGCGCTCAGACTGGAGGCTCGCGAGAAGCCGTGCGGCGTGCTCTCTGTGGCGAAGTGCAGCAGGACGTCGGCGCTGCTCTCCTCCTCGTCCTTTTTCTTCTTGCTCCGCTCCTCCTCCTTGGTGCTCCGCGTGGGCGGAGGTGGCGTCTTGGCGCGGCTCGGCGGCATGGTCTGACCCGGGCTGTCGGGCAGGTCGCTGGGGCTGACCACGCCGCTCGGCATGCCGCTGCACGGCTCGCTGGAGCGCACAGAGCTGGCGATGGAGGAGGTGGAGAAGCTGTCGAGGGAGCTGACGGAGGTGCAGCGGCTGAACATCAGCGGCGTCTCTTGGGCGTACGGCTGCTCCGGAGGGCTCTTAGGAGTCCTCGCCCCCGACGACGACGTCACGTGGTGGTGGTGATGGTGGTGGGCGTGGCCGTGGTGGTGACCACGTCTTCCTCGTGAGGAGGGAGCGGAGGAGGCCGCGGCTGCGGCCGCTGCGGTGGCGGCGGTCTGGCTCTCCGCCTCCTTCTGCTGCCTCTGCTGCTGCTCCTGTGTGTCCTTCTCGCTGACAGGAAGTGTTGGGTAATCGTTACCGCCGCCGCCACTGCCCCGCCTGCTTCTCCTCTTCCTCCCGATGGCGTCGCCGTCTTCATCTTCCTCCTCCGATGACAGCGAGGAGAGCGAGCTGCCTCTGGAGAAGCAGATGGGCGTGTCCTCCACGCAGTATGTCTGCGTCAGCTCCTGGTTGCCCTTTAGCGCCGTCCGATTGGCAGACAGGGGTGCCGGGGGGCGGAGCTTGTTTGCAGAGGATGACGGAGGGGGCGGGCCTGAGGCCGCGGCCTTCTCCTCCGGCCGCAGCAGAGGTTTGCGGGCGGCGTCGGCGCCGTACTTAAGGCTGTAGTCGATCGGCTGCTCCACCTCTGAGTCGCCGCCGTAGTTCGCCGTCGCCGCTGCAGCGGTGTAGCGGCGCTGACCGGCGGAGGCTGCGCGGCCGCCGGTCAGCGCCGGGTCGCCGCCGTCGTTTCTGCGCCTCCTCAGCCGGGCGTCCAGCTCGTCGTCCTCGTCGCTCTCGCGGTGGCTCGGGCTCTGCCTGCCGGAGTTCAGCTGCTCGTCCGAGTACTTCAGACTGTAGTTGATGGGCGTGTCCAGTTCGCCGCCGCCGTCGTCCGCCATGTGGTTGGCGCTGCGGATCTTGTGCGCCAGGTCGGCCGGGTACTTCCTGTAGACGCAGCACTTGTTGGCGCCGCTCTCGTCCGACGAGTAGAAGGGCTCGGCCGAGGGTTTGGTCTTGCCGCGGTTTCCGTAGCCGTCGGCGCTGGTCACGCTGTTCAGGCTGTCGCTGGACGCTCGCACGCTGGGCGGGAACACGGGCCGGCCGTATGCGACCTCCTCGCCAGGCCTTTTTGAGCCGTCCACGTTCTTCGGGCTGGACAGCACCGGCGTGTTGGTGTAAGATCGCGCCCCTCCCCCTCCTGCGCTGTTACAGCCACGCCCCTTTCTGTGCGCCGCCTTGGGGCTCAGGTTGTCAATGTTGTCGAAAGTCTCAGATAGCTGCTGGGCGTCCAGCTCCTCAAACAGCGCCTTCTGCTTACGGGCGTGCAGCGACGGGGCGCCGGCGCCCGGCGACACCACGCTGGCGTCCTTGTAGCGCGCCGGCCGGTTGGCCATCAGGTTGCGCAGGGCGGCGGCGCTGCCCATGGCGATCATCTTGTGCCGGGAGTGAATGAGGTTGCGCAGCATGCCGACGGCGCCCAGCTCCCACAAGGCCTCCTGGTCTTTGGCGTCCCTGGCCGACAGATTCCACAGTGTCCCGCAGGCGTTGGACACGATTGTCAGACTGTGGGACTTGAGGTGCTGCAGCAGCGTCGGCAGGCAGCCGTGTTCACGCAGGATCTGCCTGCAAGACAACACACAGGGCGCCGCAACTCAGAAAGGATACTTGCAATAACTAATTAATACCGATGTAATGGAGCCTTGTTGATCCCCGAGTGAAAACAAAGTGATGATGTCATAACTCATAACTAGTGATGTTAGCAGCTAACGGCTAACAGCTAACCGATCATTATTTTGAGGTGTTCAGGCTTTATTCAGATGTAAAATGTATTTTTAATGATAAACTTTAGTTTTGTCATTTTGTGTCCTGATATGATCTCCCTCATCACTGCATGCCGTCTACCTGTTGTTTACCTGTGCGCCTCGTTGGTGGCGATGAGGCTGGACACGTTGCGGAGGATCCCGCCGCCGCTCTCGATGATGGCGAGCGTGTTGGTGTGGCTGCGGTGCGTCAGCGTCCCCACCAGGAAGGCCAGCGCGCCGTCCACCGCGCAGATATCCGCCTTGTTCTCGGTGCAGTGAGCCGAGAGGTTCCAGAGCGCGCTCAGCACGGACTTCAGGGTCGACTCCTGAGGCAGCAAAGCAAGACGTTTGACTCAAATCACTGAAAGTAAACCTTCACCACAGGAAGCAGAGAAGTGGAAATGTGAATAGTTTATTGTTTCTAAAACTTTAATTGCGTGTTTTGCATGTAAACACGTCGCATTTACAATTTCTAATTAAAACTAAAAACTAAGTAAAATAAATAATGCAAATGATTGATGTAATTCTGCCTGTTTCAGTTCTACTTTTATTCATCATGGTTGACGAGCAGAATCTTTATTTTAAAATCCCAACCACATTAGGGAACACGGAGACGTTTCAGAGGGTTGATCAGAGATGAAGAGTGTTACTATTCACCTTCTGGACCTCGAGGGCGCAGCCGGTCAGCGCCCTCACGCTGCCGACCTCACGCAGCGTCTTCTTACTGTTGACATCAGCGCGCCACGACAAGTTCCTCAAGACACTCGCGATCACCTGGAGAGACGCGGCATTAATCAATAATTATGCTGGAAAAGGGGGAAAAGCTGACGAGCAGCGATGAATCAATAAAGAACAGGTGATTTCACCTGCTGCAGGTCCTCGCTGTCAGACTTCAGCTGAGCGACCATCGCTCTCATGCAGCCCTTCATGGAGCACAGCGTGGCCTGATGGGAAAACGACGGGGAGATGTCATCTGATTGGCTATAGAGGAACAGCTGTGTGTGTGTGTGTGTGTGTTTCCTTCCCACCTTGTTGGCTACGTCTCCAAAGGTGAGGTTGGTGAGCGCCATGCCGGCGTACCGCCGCAGAGTGACGCTGTAATGGTCGCTGCTGAGACCGAACATCTCACAGTCCACCTGCAGCAGCTCAGCCACCGCCTGCAGACCACCTGCAGGGACAAATAACCCCCACACACACACACGCGGAGGGTGTGAATACCAGGGAGGAGCAGCGCGATGACCTCAGAGAGCGCGATGATGTCACACTGACCCAGTTCGTTCATGGCGTGTCGATGTTCTTCGTCAAAGGACAGCTTCATCAGGACGCAGACAGCCGGACAGATCTGATGCTCCACTGGAGACGGCACTGAAGACACAATATATTCACTCATGTTACGTGGTATTAAGATACAGACGCACTCCGGTGCAGCTTCCATAGATCCACACACAACAATCACATATTTGGACACAGCGTGCGATGCTGTCGGCCTGTCCTCCCGATTGGTTCTCGTGAGTGTGACATCACTCACTGGGGTTATCCTCCTGGTCAACGCCCCTCTCGTGGTTCTCCTGCCAGCTCCAGCACTCCTCGCAGTAGTGGCGTACCTGCTCCAGCAGGTGGAGCACCCTGATCTCGCGCCGGCCCCTCTTGTCGTCGGGCTGACTGTGCACGATGTTGTGCAGCGCCGCTGAGGCGCGCGCACGGGCCTCCTTGCTGCCACGGGAGTTGCCTAGCAACAGGGAGTCTTTGTCGTTGCCGTGGAGCAGCTGGATGAGCAGCGGCAGGCAGCCGGACTGACGCATGGCGATGCACGAGTCCTGAGAGCTCGACATGGCGAGCAGCGTCCGCGACATGTCGTCTTTATCGTGGGTCCCCAACATCGACAGAAGGCTGTACACCATCTCCACCTGCAGGGGGCGACAGAGCGGTTTATACACCATCTCACCTGCAGGGGGCGACAGAGCGGTTAATACACCATCTCCACCTGTAGGGGGCGACAGAGCGGTTTATACACCATCTCCACCTGTAGGGGGCGACAGAGCGGTTTATACACCATCTCCACCCGTAGGGGGCGACAGAGCGGTTAATACACCATCTCCACCCGTAGGGGGCGACAGAGCGGTTAATACACCATCTCCACCCGAAAGGGGCGACAGAGCGGTTTATACACCATCTCCACCCGTAGAGGGAGACAGAGCGGTTTATACACCATCTCCCCCCGTAGGGGGCGACGGAGCGGTTAATACACCATCTCCCCCCGTAGGGGCGACGGAGCGGTTAATACACCATCTCCCCCCGTAGGGGGCGACAGAGCGGTTTATACACCATCTCCACCCGTAGGGGGCGACAAAGCGGTTTATACACCATCTCCCCCCGTAGGGGCGACGGAGCGGTTAATACACCATCTCCACCCGTAGGGGCGACCGGAGCGGTTAATACACCATCTCCACCCGTAGGGGCGACAGAGCGGTTCATACACCATCTCCACCTGTAGGGGCGACAGAGCGGTTTATACACCATCTCTCCCCGTATGGGCGACAGAGCGGGTTATACACCATCTCTACCCGTAATGGGGCGACAGAGCGGTTAATACACCATCTCCCCCCGTAGGGGCGACGGAACGGTTTATACACCATCTCCACCCGTAGGGGGCGACAGTGCGGTTTATACACCATCTCCACCTGTAGGGGCGACAGAGCGGTTTATACACCATCTCCACCCGTAGGGGGCGACAGAGCGGTTAATACACCATCTCCACCCGTAGGGGGAGACAGAGCGGTTAATACACCATCTCCACCTGTAGGGGGCGACAGAGCGGTTTATACACCATCTCCACCTGCAGGGGGCGACAGAGCGGTTTATACACCATCTCCACCCGCAGGGGGCGACAGAGCGGTTTATACACCATCTCCACCTGCAGGGGGCGAACAGAGCGGTTATACACCATCTCGCCCCAGAGGGGCGACAGAAGCGGTTTATACACCATCTCCACCCGTAGGGGGCGACAGAGCGGTTAATACACCATCTCCCCCCGTAGGGCCGACGGAGCGAGTCGGAGTAGACTGACCTTGAGTGCCGAGGTGGCTGGTGATTCGTCGAGGCACAGAGTAGCTCGTCTCATTGACTGCCTCGTGATCCAACTGGATGCTGGAGCTCTGGAGGAGGAAGAAAAACAACAAGGTCAAAAAGAGATTTAAATAACGGACAGACCCAAAGTCACGAAGACGAGTAAGAACAAGAAGGACAATCACCTGAGCGGAGGACAACCCGATGCTGTCGGTCGCCCCCTGACGCTCCTCCACCTGGATGGAGAGAGATTATGTGGAGGACTACAACAACATCAAATGAATATTGTGATGATTGAAATGAACAGGTTTACCTGCAATCGTGCTCCCAGCCGCAGGATGTCCTTATCGATCTGCTGAATGCGAGACACACGGTCCTGAAGAAGCGCACACACAGAGGTCACATGCTGAGGTCGGGGGTCAAACAGGTGTAACAGGTGTAACAGCCTCCAGGTGAGACCTCACCTGAGCTCTCCTCTCCATCTCCTGACAGGAGCCCAGCTGCTCCTCCATCGCAGAGCGGATCTGACGGGCCTCGAACTCCAGCTGACGCCGACTCATGTCCGTCTGCAGGGTGAACTGAAGCGCAAACTCTCGTCACACGGCGCCTCAGCAGAGCGGCTGGGGCTTATGGGTATTGTAGTTTTTATCGATGTGTACAGTTACAAAGTACTCACATTCTCGGTGAGTGGCAGACTGTCGATCCTCTTGGTGAGGTTCTGCAGCTGAGCGTAGTACCAGTCCTTCTCCTTTTCCTCCTTCTCCAGTTCAGCCAACAGGAGGCCCCTGCCAGCAGCCAATGACAGAGCAGAGATTCAGAGGAAGGGGGGGGGGGGGCACACAAGATGGCGCCGACGATGGACGTTTTTTGTTAATTGCGTTTCCTGTTGTGATTCCCGGAGCTCTTTGACCAGATGAGCTGCTGAACATCTGAGGAAACAACTCCAGTTGTCTTGACGTCTGTTACGCACCAACCGCAGAGTCACATTCCTTGTATGTCTGATAT